ACGGCGGCTAATTCCAAGTCGTGCGTCGGATAGTTCTGCTCATGCGGCTTAAGCTGACGTGAAGCATACGCAACGACCTGGCCATCTTGCATAAGGACGCATCCCAAGCCCTGTCTCGAAGCATCGCTGAAGATAGTGAAACTCCGAGAAGAATCGGGAATAGTCAACACCGGTGCTGAAGTTAATCTCTTCTTGAGCTCCTGGAAGCTCGACTCACAACGATCAGTCCACTCGAACCTCACAAACTTCCTCGTCAGCTGGGATAGAGGGAGGGCAATCTTGGAAAAGCCCTCGATGAACCTGCGATAATAACCAACTAGACCGAGAAAACTGCGAACCTCAGACGGACTCCTCGGTGTCGACCATTTCTGAACAGCTGAGACCTTGGAAGGATCCACCTCGATACCTTCCTGAGTAATCACATGACCCAGAAAAGATACTCGATGGAGCCAGAACTCGCATTTGGAGAATTTTGCAAACAACTTTTCTCGTCTGAGGGTTTCGAGAACCACCCTCAGATGCTCCTCGTGCTCCTTCTGGCTCTTCAAGTAGATAAGGATATCGTCAATAAAGACAATAACGAACTGATCGAGGTAGGGATGAAAAATACGGTTCATGAGGTCCATAAAAACAGCTGGAGCATTACTGAGACTGAATGGCATGACGACGAACTCGTAATGGCCGTAACGAGTCCTGAAAGCGGTCTTAGCGATATCTGACTCCTTAATCTTCAGCTGGTGGTAGTCTGATCGTAAATCAATCTTGAGAACACACAGGCTCCCCTCAACTGATCAAATAAGTCATCGATCCTGGGAAGCGGATACTTGTTCTTGATCGTCAACCGGTTAAGATCCCGGTATTCGATACACATGCGCATGGTTCCGTCCTTCTTCTTGACAAAGAGAACGGGTGCTCCCCAAGGTGACACGCTCAACCGGATAAAACCGAGTCGTAACAGCTCCTGAATCTACGCCTTAAGCTCCTGCAACTGGTTTGGCGCCATACGGTATGGGGCTTTGGATACTGGACCGGCCCCTGGAATAAGATCGATAGAGAACTCCACCTGCCGGTTAGGCGGTCCTCCTGGAAGCTCATCTGGGAACACGTCCACAAACTCACGAACAACCGGAACATCGTGAGGTGATCGTGTTTTCTGAGAATCGTCGACAAGGCTCACCAGATAACCCTGGCAGTTGCCTCGTCGCAATAACTTAGTGGCTTTCGCCATCGAAACAACATGAGGCAATGAACGATTCCTGGAGCCGAAGAAAGTGATCGACTCATCTCCCGGAAGATAGAGAGTGATCTCCCGGTCATGACACCTGATATCTGCATGATAAAAGGATAGCCAATCCATTCCGAGAATAAGTTCGAAGTCCCTCATCTCGAGAACAAACGCGTCGTAGACAATACTCGGCCACCGATGGAAAGGCTAAGGTCTGAAGTTTTAGCTGAGGTCACTATCTTTTGTCCCGAGGCTAGACTCACCTCGAGAGGATCGACAACGGTAATGGCCTGAACTCCGATGACATCGAGACATCATCGTGAAATGAATGAATGTGTTGCTCCAGTATCGAACAAAGCGAAAACAGGAATATCATTAAGCGCAACCATCCCTGACATAGTACCTGGCTGATGTGCTGCCTCGGCCTGATCGACCGCGTAGACTCGAGCCTGCTGTCTGCCCTCTGCTGTTGCTGCTGAGGCGGCCTCTGCGCCTGCTGACGTGGCTGCTGCTGTTGTGGCGGCTGCTGAGGCTGCTGGGGCTGCTGCTGAAGTCTCTTCGGACAACGACTCACAAAAT